ATAATAATAATAATAATGTTATTACCTTAAATAAATACATTTTTATTCTTTCCTTTTGAATTAATATTTTCTACCTTAAATAAATAAATTATTTTGCCTAATTTATATTATATTCTTTAAACTACAAGTACCTATTTTATTATATTGAGCCTGAGTACACACAATTCCAAATAAATACATTAGGAATAATAATTATATTAGTAATATATTATTAATTAAATAATTAGGGGAAATGATGGTTAGAACAGTGTACTTAACGTATAGGTTACTCATATAATAGGTAGTAATTAAGGTGATTATTGTTAATTAAGCTAATTAGTGTGTAGTATATGTACATATGGAATGCCGTGCTAATTAGTGTGTAGTATATGTATATGGAATGTCGTGTGAAATTAAAAGTTTTTACCTTTCTTTAAATCTCTTACTATTTTATAATTTCAATACTAAGTTCTTTTGATCTTATTTATTGTGTATAAATACACCTTACATGATCATATACAATCCATCAACTTCACCTACAATCCCAACTAAACTTAATTATTTTATTGACTTTTGCTAATTATCCTGTAATCTTCCACAATTGAGGTTGATACGTGATTTGCACAGGTGAGGTTTTCATTATCTTAGTTTCATTTTTCTTTCTTTCTTTTTGATTTTTTTTTTTTTTGTATTTTCCGATTTTTAAATAAGAAAAGTGGTTCCTAAGACAAAATGTTGATATTTTTTTGTTTGTTTGTTTGTTTGTTTTTGTGGAGAAGATACAGATCTATAAAGATTGATCGGGAAGTAATAGAGTTCCTTGCTCATCAAGTGGATAAAGTTTGGAGAGGGACGGACTCTCTGTATATGTAAACAGATACAAAGGGAAGCATGATAAGAATACACTAAAAACCAAAATAAAATTCAAAGCATTTTTTTAGTTCTCCATCTCATAATTTCTTTCTTTTCGTATTAATTTTCTACCTTTTTCTAACTATATTCCCCCGTACTTCAATATGTTTTGCAGTTTATATCGTCTGGTATGAGCTTTAAGATACTTAAGGAGGCTTTGCTTCAGCAAAAGGAAATTGAGGAGGAAGATGCTTGGTAACAGAACCCTAATGGTTTAGTTTTTATGGAAGAGCGTAGAGATGCGATCGAGGATGATAAAGACAGTGATTTTGATAAATTTGTAATATTTTATGAAACTTAGAGTTAGTATGTTGACTTTGAGATTTGTACATGTCATTCAAGTTTCTATATTTTTTTAATAAGCAGCGTTAAGGGTTTACGTGGTTCGTTGGGCAAAACAGCAATCAAGCAACAGCTAAATTGAATTGAGGGGTGAGGACGTTGTAGATAGATGTCATTTCTCATCCTACTTTGTCTTTTTCTAAAGAGAGTGGGAATGTGATAGTGAGAAAAGAGAAAAAGGAAATGGAGAGATTTTATTTATTTATTTATTTTTTCCTAGAAGTTTCTATGTTTTCCTTATACAAATTTATAATTGTAAATTTATATTAATAAATGATTATTATAAATTTATATTAATACAATGTAATAGAGTTAGTAGTATTAAAAAAATGATTATTAAGACAAGTATAATTTATTTTATATTGTGGATACATTATTTTTAATAATTTTTATTTAATAATATTATACCTTAATTATAAAAATTCTACCTAATAATGTAAATGTCATACAATAATTATCATAAACAATATTTAATAATTGAAAAATTCTATTAGGCAATAAAAATTACTATTATAAAATCTTTTGTAATATGGACACATTATTTTTAATTATTTCGGTTTAATAATTTTATATCTTATGTATAAAAATTTAAAATAATACTTTTAGTACTATTGAATATTGAGTTGACTAACAATTATCTTAATTATTAAAGCAATTAATAGGTATCTAGCTTTAAAAAGTTTTCAAATATATGAATTATACATAGTAGCATAGAATCAATTAGTAAGACAATTATATTAGGTAATCTAATTAATAATTTATTTTTAAAAATTATATCCTTTTTTAATAATGAATATTTTCTTAAAGTATATACATAGACTATGGTTATCAATATAAAATTAAAAGTACACACACACACACTTAATGTATAATATTAATAATTATGTATTGTTACCTTTTTTGATGTAATTATTATGGTAATTTATATACAAATATATTTTTTTATACTCAATGTATAATATTATTGGCATGAAATAAATTATACTTACCTTAATATATAATTAATTTTTAATATAATTTTCTTATTTTTATTAAAGGTAATTATTCTGATAATTTTTCTTTCATTCTTTTGTGTAATTATTATGGTAATGTATTTAAATATTGAAAGACATTAGAACAACTATTATAATTAATATAATTAATTAAATTATTATGAACAGATACTACAATGTAATAGAGCTAGTAGCATTAAAAAAAAAATTAAATTATTATGGTAATTGTCACAATATTTGGTAATTATAATTAATATAATTAATGAAATTAAGAAATATAAGATTTCTTCCATAGAAATATTTGTGGCAATTTCATTAAATTACAATTAATAAAATATGAATTATAATTAAAGAAATGAAATTATAAAATTAACAAAACATAAATATTTCTAATTTTTAAAATATACATACATACACTTATGCACTATAATAATCATACAAAATTTAAAAGTTACTTTTTAAATTTTTAAATATAATTTTTTAATTATAAATTATAATTAATGAAATTATATTATAGAACTTTCATATATACATATTAATAAATATTATGTGTATATACAATGAATTATACAATCATATAAGGAAATGCGTCGAATTAGGGTTTAAATTTATTCATTCAAAATTTGAAATTTACATTTTTTTTTATTGAAGTCTAAGTACAATTCTCTTAGTTATTAATTTATTATTCATATCTTTAGAATTATAATATATGAAATACAATTAGAAATAAATCGACTTAATTATGTGAATTTCTTCTATATATTTATCTAAATATGTAAATGATTAGAGATTATATTATAAATACAAGATTTTAATTTTAATTTTGTATGTTATGAAAATAGATATTTGACCAAATATATAATAGTCCAACTATATTATTATATTGTACATTTTAACATCTTTTCATTTTTTTCTATTTTTTATTTTAAATTCATAATAACAAAAACAATTCGTGGAACGCACGGGTAAAACACTATATTTTAAAAAAAATACAATTTGATAAATATCAAAAATTAATTAGTACAATATCATTTCGGTTTATAATAATTAAAGAAAAAAAATAAATAATTTAAATATGTGAACCGATGATTTCAAAAAGAAATTAATATATAGTTTCAAATAAATATAGTATGATTAGATATACTTTAATTAGTTTTAATTTTATTAATGAAATGACTTTTCTTTATCACTTTTTGATGGGAGACGGTGTGAGTTGCTGGAAAATATTTTAAAAATAAAAATACTTACTAATAAAAAATAATTTTAAAATATTTTTTAACCCCTCATAACATGTGCAGATCTTATATTTTTTTTTGAGAACAATTTGATAAATATCATAAATTAATTAGTACAATATCATTTCTGTTTATAATAATTAATTAAAGAAAAAAATAAGTAATTCAAATATGTGAACCAATGCTTTCAAAATGAAATTAATATACAGTTACAAATAAATATAGCATGATTAGATTTAATTTAATTAGTTTTAATTTCCTTAATAAAATGATTTTTCTTTATCAGTTTTTGATGGGAGACTAAGGGAGTGTTTGTGTTGCTGGAAAAAGATTTTAAAAATAAAAATAATTTTAAAATTTTTTTAACCCATAAACATGCAAAAATTTTATATTTTAAAAAAGATACAACTTGATAAATATCATAAATTAATTATTGCAATATCATTTATGTTTACAATGCGAATAATTAAGAAAAAAAATAATTCAAATATGTGAACCAATGATTTCAAAATGAAATTTATCTATCTGTACTATTAATAAAAGTAAAATCCTCCTTTTCAACATTCCCGCCCAAATTAATAAGAATATTAATTAATTAGTAAAAAATTAATAAAGTTTATTTGGTAACAATAATACTTCTAATTGAGTAATTGACTAATTGACTAAAATGAAAAAAAGAAATTGTCAGGTATTTTAATTAAAAATGGAACAAAAATTAAAAATTAGATGGAAATATTTCAATAATAATATTCTACATCATCAATAGTAAATGCATATTTTAAACAATATAAAGGTAAATTAAAAATATAACAAAAATATTTCAATAAAAATATTATACATCATCAATGAAAAATGGAACAAAAATTAGGTAAAAATATCACTTCATCTAATATTCTAATTGACTAATTGACTGAAAATAAAAAAGAATAATTGACTGAAAATGAATATGATATTACTAATTGACTGAAAATATAAAAGGATCACTGACTAATATTCTATCATTATATATTTTCACAAGAGTCACCCATCCAGATGGACTAAAGGTGTTAGCTCTAGACGAAGATGGACGGGATTGTGTTGCTACTACCAATGTCGTCTACAAAGAGGTTTCAATAATGTGTAAATACAATCGTTGATATTATATTTTTTTTAAATGACAAAATTGCTATATATCTAGACAAAAAAAAATATATCTTCCATATATACAAATGAATTAAGATAGCAATTTTTTCATATAAATGAGTTGCTGGAGAACGAGCACATTTACCTAATTTATAAAAAATACTAATGATAAATAAAATCTCCAAAATTGCAGCACCGCATGCGTACATCTACACATTAGCTATTAATTTGAGCAATTATTTGCTCAAATTCAAGCAATGATAACATCAAAACAGATAAATGATTCAAATCACATATTTAATTGCACTATATAATATTTGATGCTCTAATTTAAATAATTATATATCAATCCAAATATTCTTAATATATTACAACAAATATATTCCGTGCATCGCACGGGCGCAAATACTAGTATAACAAGAACCAATTGCTGGATTTGCTGCGCCTCCTTCTTCAGTCACTTTCACCGGTAGCGGAGAAGAAAATTGAAATGGGAAGTTTTGCTTCTGAAGAAGTACAAGTGCAGGTAAGGAGTCACTTACTTGGCAAAAGGTATCTAATTGTACTAGATAACTTACAGTTAGACAATTGGGGTGATATCCGAGGATGTTTTCCTGAACACAACAATGGAAGTTGCATATTGGTAACCACTACACACTTTGATCGGTATGTCTTCAATGGCTTGAAAATCTATATTCACAGCATGACTTTGCTAGATCCAAATGAAAGTTGGGATCTGTTTTGCCGTACCCTTTCTAAGGGGAGTATGTCAAGATCACCTGAATTAGAAAAAATTAGGGGCAATATTATAGAGATATGTGATGGACTACCATTGACAATTGTTGTAGTTGCAAAGCGTCTATCTAAATGCAACGACGTGTTAAAGAAATGGGAGAAGATTAAAAAGGAAATAGAGTCATTGGGGATTCTTGATCGCAATACTCTCATTTTTCATTACAATAAATTGTCGCAAATTTTGAAAGTTTGCTTTCTATATCTTGGAGTCTTCCCAAAACGCAAAGAAATCCAAGTCAAAAACCTAATTGGGTTATGGATTGCCGAGGGATATTTTGAGCCATTAGAGTTTGAAAAGAAAGAAAGTCAAGGTTATCCATATTTACAAGAGCTTATTGAAAGAAGACTTGTTTTAATATGCAATCAGAATTCTAATGGCAAAATTAAGACTTGTAGGATGCATAGTGCCATGCATAGCTTCTGTGTTGGAGAAGCTCAGAAAGAGGGTATTTTTTGTGCTGTAAATACTCTACAACATTCAGGATTGCCACTAAGTGATTTTGCGAATTCAAGTCGTTGGTTAAGTTTATGCAAACATAGTTTTGACTATTATGTTTTGTTTAGTTCGAACAAGCCTCGCTCCATTTTCTTCTTTGATGAAGATCCTAAAACTTTTGTTCCCTTCAAGTTGTTAAGAGTTTTGGCCTTTGTTCCTTCTCCATTCCTTCAAAGAGTGTCAATGCATTTGGGCGATTTAATTTTTTTGAGATACCTATTTATAAGTAAGAGGTTTGAGGGTTTGGGTAATATACTGTCAAAAACCCCAAATTTGCAGACACTTATTGTTTCCAGTGATGAACCACAAATTGGAGCACCTACAATTCATTTGCCATCCACAATTTGGAAGTTACCACAGTTGAGACATCTTGAACTTGGAGATATGTATACGATGGATCCTCCCTGCACGGTTAAAGCGAAATTGCAAACACTATCTTGGGTGAGTCCAACTCATTGTAGAAACTTAACACTATCCTTGGTGAGTCCAACTCATTGTGGAATGGAAGTGTTTCCAAACTTAAGAAAACTGAAAATTTTCTATAAAGATGACTTAGAGTTCAATCGCACTCATGGATCTTCAAGCAATCCCATCATTTTGGAAAATTTTGGATATTTAAAACAGCTTCAGAGGCTAAAGATTTCTGTTTCGGTTAGCTGCGCTGTGGTATATACTGAACGATTTATGTGTCCTTTACAACTGCAGAAGTTGAGTTTGAGTGGGATGAATCTTTCTAAGAGAGATTTAACAGTAATTGGCATGTTACCGGAGCTTAAGGTGCTCAAGCTTGAAAATGCCTTCCTAGAAAGAGTATGGGAAGTGGTTGAAGGAGGATTCCGTGAATTAAGATTCTTGCTTGTGAAAGATAAAAACCTCCTGCAGTTTTTGGCTGATGAAAAATCCTTCAAACATCTTGAGCGTCTAGTTCTATGATGTTGTTGCTATTTGGAACAACACGGAGCACTCAAACATTGATTCTATTCCAAATGAGTGTAGGATGAAATTGACTACCTACAATTTCGTTGTGACTTCCTGCTACAACAATTAGACAATTATATTATTTTTAAAATAAATATATAATAAAAAAATAAAAGAGAAATAATTTTAAAAAATAAATGTAGTGTCAACTATTATATAATAATAATGCATATTACATGTAAATTTATAAATTCGTTGTAATTGCCAACGCTTAACATCATTGTAGTTTATCCAGTTATTGTGCGTACCTTCTACAACGTGGCCACACGTGGTGTTGGAAGTCATCAACTCTCCTTAATGCATGTAAATAGTTGCTCAAAACCATTTCAATTGTCTCTATATTTGTATCCTGCAATATTTGCAAAAGATGCAGAAAAGAAGTAAGAACATAAATTAAGAATTATGCCATTGGAAAATGAAAGACGCAATACATAACTCACCCCAGTACAAAAAGGAAGAGTTATAATTTTTCTAGTCACTAATCCATTGTATTTATAGGTAGAGATAGAGAATGTGAGAATTAATTTCTTTTTATATTTTCAATCAATTTGCCTAATTTCTGTTTCCTTTTTTCATTAGAATCCTTTTATATTTTCAATCAATTAATAATATCAGTTTCCTTTTTTCAATTTATATTGACTGGATTTCACAATGGTATATTGGTATTGCATAATATTACCAATTAATAGCTTTTATAACATTTCCATTTTACATTTGCTTACCAAATAAGTTTTATTAATTTGACCAATAAAATATTTCATTAATTTGACTATAAAAGTTTGAGCGGGAAAATTACATAGGAGGATTTTACTTTTATATATATATAGATATAGATTTTTAATTCACATTGTTTAGCAAATGACATCTTAAATTGATTGAGTTGATGACAGCCTTATAATTCTTTTTATTAATTTAGTTCTCTTTATTAACACTAATTTATTGAGCCTATAAACCATTCCATGCAAGAGTTATATTGTACAAATTCTAAGTAGTAACGATACCTACGTTGCGTATGTATATTGATGTCATTGTATGATGTGAAATAAATACTCTCGATAGTAAATATAATATAGGGAGAAGTGTCAAATAAGCTCATGTACTATTGTTAAGTGCTCAATTTCCATCATGAACTAAATTAAAGACTAATTAATCACACTTACCTACTAAATTTGTTCAATTAGCTTTTTTTGCAGGTAAATGATTTTTTTTTGCAGGTTACCAATTCAATTATTAAAAAAAAAATAGAGCCACCGACTATCCTCGCCGGACAGCCGGATCTGGACCTCAAACATGAGGTCCAGATCTTGACCTCATATTAGACAGCCATGACTGTCCGGCTGTCCTCGCCGGACAGCCACGACTGTTTTGAAATGGCAGCTGTATTCTTTTTTAATAATTTTAAAATTATTTTTAATAATTGAATTGGTAACCTGCAAAAAAAAATTAATTGAACAAATTTAGTAGGTAAGTGTGGTTAGTTAGCCTTTAATTTAGTTCATGGTGAGAATTGAGCACTTGATAATAGTACATGGGCCTATTTGACACTTCTCCCTATAATATAACTTTTGTATTTAAAGAATACAAATCTGATTGTTGTTAATACTATTATAGTCAAACATGTCACATATAGTATTCCATTTACCTTTTATATGTGATTTATAGATTATTACACAAAAATAAAATTCACTTAATATAAATAATAATTACGAGTTTACTTCATCACTCAAAAAAGATATAATTAAAATTAAAATAACTAATAAAAACGACAACGAAAATAAAAGTCATTATCATGTCCTATATGAATACACAAAGATAAGGCAGCTATCGAATCAATGCTCATATATGTTTTTTTTTTTTTTTTTTTTTTTTGGGGTTCATTATACCATTAATAAATATTTAAGCTGCTCTTACTTTAATTTTTAATACTTTTTAGATTTCATACTTTTTTTTTTAACTAACAAGATATATAAGTAAATAATTTCCCTATTTGTGCTTCTTTAAAAAAAATTAATATTTATCGAGTTTAAAACCTTGTTTAATTGGAGTAAAGCATTTTTAACTTTGATTTACGAAAAAATTTACCCTAGTTAATTACCTAAAGGTGCACTATATATAAGTTCTCTTTGTGTTCCTAGCTGACAAATTACTATAAGGAGGTACGGTAAACCATCATAGGTGCCCATAACTGAATGACACAAAGCGAAGAATACCAATAATAGACAACTCCAACAAGGAGTCAGACTTAGAATCTTGTGGTTATTAAACCAACTGCCAAACAAACTCGTTTTAAGTTGTCCCCAAAATACTAATTAAGTAATAAAATATAATTGATCAAATTACAAATAATTAATGAAAATAATAATAATAACACATAATAAAGTAATAAACCAAATAATTGAGAGACAACATTTAACAAAAATGTCCTCAAAATATATTACAAAAACCCTTTCAAACTCCAAAAGCATACAAAAGGACATCCATCTTATCAAAATAATTAGTTAAATATCCCATCACCCTGGGAGTTAGGTTTTAATTTAGTAATTAATTATCTAAAAAGAAAATTAAACGATTATATTAAATGTATTATGCATTATTTTATGTGGTAAAGACATTGTCAAGTTGTCATCATCCATGCTTGAATCATATCGCAGCACTCAATTTGTTATTTGTGACAATCTAAAAAACGATCATTAGCATTCATGAACTCACTTTTAAAAGGATATATATGTCCAAGTGAAAAGTGATCATCATATGCAATAATAATAATATATTATTGTTAATCATTATTATGCGAAAATAATAAAAACTAAAAGTGTTTTTTAGATTTTTTTTTAATATTGAAATAACAAAAAAAAAGAAAAAAGAGGAAAACAATATAAAACTACCTGGAATGAGATTGCTTTTTTTCTTTTATAAGGAAGGGGATATCCTATATATACACACTACTTGCCTCAAGTGAAGTTTGAACTTATCACCTCCCACTTAAGAGAGTAACCCGATACCAGTGAATCACAGGTCACTTGGTTTTAATAGAGTATTTAGTTAAGAGAAGTTGAGTTCTCTAAAGCAACACATAGAAATTTGCTTAGCTTTAGATAAACATAAACTATTAGAACCAAAATGGTGCATGCCACGATTATCTTGCAACGATTGTGAATTCCGTGTAAATATAATAATTGCCAATAAATGCCATCTAACAAATACTTGTTGGATGACATGCATTAGTCTGATGAGTTTTTAGATCTCTGACAATTTTACTATATATACATGTCACGTTATATTGTAATCATTATTTTCGAGAAAAAAATGGAAGAAACGGAAAAGCAACAAGAAATTGGGGCTTTTTGGATAGCTTTCCGGTAAGGTGAAGAAACGAATAGGAAGAATACTACGTTAAGAATAAAACAAAAACAATATAACAACAAACATTGTGGTTTCCAATCTTCCTTATTTGTGCTGTGGTTGTAGTTGATGTTGCACTCCAAAGTTCAACACGCGTATAATGGCCTATTGCCAACCTTACTACACCTATAAACTAGGTGTCAATACAGTGACTTAATCCCTATGTTTGCCCCTGGGTTATTATGTGTTTTATTTATAATCATCGAATTTACAATTATCATCTTTGATTGTTCAATTGTTAAAAAGTGAAACTTTTAGTTATCGCTAGCTAAAGTTAAAATTGATAAATTTTCAGTAATACGAAAATTGAAAATGATACATTTTTAATAAGTGAGAAATTTTGTTTGATCAATTTTGAAATTAATGATTAATATGAAAATATATAATTGTCAAGCAACAATCAATATATATGCACACACATGTATATTAACTAAACTCGCAAAAAGAATGAAACCACTATCGTAAATAACTAAATAATAATGTATTGCCCACGATAGAAATTATGTGCAAAAGGCCCGCAATTGTTGAATGAACTGTATCTCTTTTTTGTGTTAGTTTACCTAAGTTGAGCCCTTACTGTTGGTGGGGCAGGGCTCGACCTTCGAACCGTATGTGGGACAAGTTTTTGCCTCATACAGCTCGATCTGAAGCTAGCAGCAGCTGATCAGGGCAGGGATAAGCTTGTGAAGAAGCAATCTTATCTTGAAATAATAACATTAACAACTACACTGTCACTATATGAAGGTACGCATTGGGTAAACTTCGTTCGTATGTAAACTACACAAGAGAAATAAACTGCATTAGGAAGGCCCGTCACACTCAACCATCCTGGGGGCTAACCATACAGAAAAGACAAATCGCACTAAGAAGACTTGTTGCACTCGACCGTCTTATGTAATAGCTCACAAAACACACAAGAGAGGTAAACATAATTATGAAAGTCCGTCACACTCGATTAATAAATATTGACAAAAATTAAATTTGTGACATTTAGATATATAATATTCATGCTCTACTTATTTGCCTGCACTTTTGGGGCTCATAGAATGTTTTTTTTTTCTTTTTTTTTTTGGGGGTGAAGACTCGGAATGTATATGAACATTATATTATTGTGGTGGTAGCCAATAGTGATTGTTCAAACATAGTGGGGAAATATTGGACCGTCCACTGTTAACAACAAATATTCAAAATGTATGTGGACATGTTCAAGCACCCTTATCATTTGTTCAAGTTTAGTGGCGCTTGACGTTAACAATCAACTCAAGAATGGAAAATCATATAATTTTATTAATTATTTTATAATATTAATATTTATTATTAATTATAAATAAAATTTAAAAATGTCAAAAAATACATAATGCCTGTTATTATAAATATAAAAAAATTATACGATACCATTTTTGTAAAGAAAATACTAATTATTTACAAAATATCACAAATTTTTTTGAGATTTTTTTTTATATATTTATAATAGTATGCAAAATGTGTTTCAATATCGTAAAAATTTTAGAATAAAAGTTGCAAGCTTTCCAATAAAATTTTAAAACTTAAAT